GGGGAGGTGAACACATCGTTGATCTTGCAGTCAACCCATGGCTTGCAATGGACTTCCAGTACATCATTGGGAGACATAGTATTGCAGAAGTCGTCCGTCAGTTCAATACCAGCCCGTTGTCGGCAATCCCTCACATAATTGGCGTACTCTTGCTTAATATAAGCGAAACCGTCGGTTACATCGCACTCCTTACCATACTTTCCCACAAAATATGAATTTAATACACATATTAGTATACTTTAGCTTATAATGGGTTTAATAAATAATTATTTATACGTGTTTAGCTTCCACATTTTTGCAACACATTCGTGACCACGAGACATCAAAAATCTTCGAAAGTTTGCCTAAAAGTATAAAATATTTCGAAATAGTGTTGAGTGAAGTGTTTGTATTGGTACCAGAGTTGGCACAACAACTGATCCATAGTAATGGCAAACATTTGGAGTGTCTATTCGTCCGAAGTCCGGTAATGTCCGAAGAGTCACTCGAGATAATCACTGGTAATATGAATCTTAAGGCCCTCGCCTACGAGCCCCACGGCACCAACTAATGGCGCGGTTTGCAAAGTTTAGCCCTAAATCAAACACATCTCATATATCTGTCAATCGAGAGTTTCACAACTAATGTCCCGGAAAATAGTATCAGTTTCTCAGGCGTCAAAACCCTGGCGCTCTACAATTGCCGTATAAATGAGTGGACGTTTCAAGTGTTTTTAAAGCTCTTCCCGGTGCTCAAGACCCTGTTCATATGGCACACAATCATCACATGTCGCATACAACAGAGTGAGTGTCAGACATGTCTTCGGCAAACGTTTCATATGATTGGAAAATATACACGAATTCGCCGATTGGTTTTGAATTACGCAAAGTTTGTTAACAAGACATGTATTTTGTGCCAAACAAACACTCACTGAATTCACACATTTATCGGCCATTCATTTGCATGATTTCCAGTCACGCGATCGTGAGGTCTATAAAGACTTTTGTGGTAAATTTATTGTGAATTTCTGTGAATTGTATGACAAAAACCCGCAAAAGGTGTTCACAATTCGGCTGATGAATGACATAAATATGGATGAGTTGTGTGCCGGACACCCGATACCAGAATATATTCACATTAATAATAGTTTGTATTGACACAGAATCTTATACAGTAATAAAATATAGTTTTTTGTAGAAATAAATATTTAAACTAAATAAATATTCATTGTATTTGGTTGAGAATTGTAATTAATAATCACTAATTTATAGAATTTGTGATAAATCTGGAAAATTGCCACTTTATTAATCATTTATAAGACTAAATAGTTTTGGTATATAATATTTTCAATTATTTCTAATTGTGTTCTCATTCATCAAAGTCTCCCAATGAAGACAAAGATATTCCTCCGAATGTGTTATCGGATGACAAAGTGGTGATAGTATTGGCTTTAGTGCTGTAATTATAAGACTTTTCTCTTCCCTTTCTATATGTGACACAAGAATCACTCCTATTATCACCAAAACCACGAATACTATCCATAATAGTGTTAGAAATTTGCTGCTATCGTATGAAATCATACTCTCTAAGGATATACACTAAAAATACTCTCAATATTAAGTTATCAATTGATTTCAATTTATATAATTAAATATTTCTTGTGAGAGATGTGTGCCTTTGTGTGTAAAGCAATACATAAGCCATAGACGTACACATATACGGTGACCAGAAATAAGTTTATTTGAGCACCAAGGAGGATATTTGCCATAAATGCAATGTTACTAGGTAGTCTAGAAGAGGACATGCCATTTCCAATACTGAATTAACTATTTGTCTATAAATATATATAATACTTTATATAACATAAGATATTAATCATATAAGTTCGAGTTATTCATACAAAATGATGTGTTTTAAAATAATTAACTTTTGAAAACTATAATTATTGAGAAGAATACATACTTTACTTTAATAACTAAAGTTTACTGTATAAGGAATTTAGAAAATGTAATTTCATATTAGCAAATTACTAATTGATTTATTACAGTAAGATTAAGTAATAGTTAAGAATTGAATTTATGAAATAAAATACAGTATTATATTGTATTATAAACATATTTGATATTCAAATGCATAAAATAGTTTCATGAGAAATATAGTCCAGTTCTTCAAATGTGTGAATGGTTTGTCAATGAGATCGGGATGTGATTCGTGGACTATTAGGGCTTTTTGATGGGGAAATGGCTTTATTTAGTAACACTTTGGTCTCAGACGTCAGATTCCCAGTGTTTGAACTATAGTACGGCTGGGAGTATATAGACCTCTCAATACTGCTCGGAGTGTAGAGACCTCTCAGTACTTGAGATCCTCTCTTATATGTGACCACAACTGCGACCACAAGAATCACTCCTATTATCAACAAAACTACGAATACTATCCATAATAGTGTTAGAAATTTAGTCATATTTTCTGGGGTTTTCATTTCAATGGGTTTAAAGCAATACTTTTCGTATGCAATCATATTCTCTGATGATTGGCACTAAAAATTTATAATTTTATGTTTAAGTTATTTGATATTTAATTACTATTTATTAATTACTTGAAGTGAAAGATCTTTGTTTTCTGGTGTAAAGCAATAGTGAGGCTGTCCTCTCATGTTAAACCATAACATATGCCCCGACTGTCCGCTCACTTCATAGTCAACGATAGCCTCCAACTGTTGGAGCAGTGGTTCAGGTATTTGATTGACAAATACCGGTCTTTGTGGACAACCTGCGGGACAACTACTTTCACCATAAACTCTAATAAAAGCCGGTAAACTAATGCGATCATTATCTTCAGTTATTTCCCATTCAGATGTCATTCTCAACACTTGAATGGATCGGTCTTTAGTGTCCAAAACCATGACATAACTGTCAGTTCTTTTCGGATCACTTTTACGGACAACTGTCGGACTGAATATAACTTTTCCGTTGTATTGGGTACCGGTGGAGAACTTAGTACCATGGTGATCCATTAAACACTCGGGTTTGATTAATGTGTTTTGCGGATCCTATGGTACAATGAATTCAATGAATGACAAAATATATGAATCCATGTATTGAACCACAAAATGCTTACCGAATACACGACTTCACACTTATAGCTATGGCCTAAAGAGCGAGAGTGTGAGAAAATACCAGAGAATCGATTAATTGGTTGTCCACTAGTGATGGTATCAATTGAATGTATTGTCGACTCTTTCATGGATACCATAAGTCCATGGTTTGCATCCCTTTCTATACTGAACTCCCACTCCATTCCCTTTGAATACATCTTATGTAAGGCATTATAATCACTTTTCTTGGTTCTAAGCCTATTCGGTAAACCCTGACTTCCTGTCCACTGTCTCTGCATTTGAATGCCATTATAGTCGCCATTGGTTTGCATGTATTGATACATGGATTGGCATTCAATGATAGGAATGCAGATAACTATCGCTAAGTCTATAATTGTAAGCATTGCTATTGAAACCACTGTTTAATAGACTGATATAAATGCCTAAATAGAAGTCCTAATTAATGGTTAAATTGTGAACACTTTTCTAAAATCTCTAAATAATTGCGTTAAATAACTTTATTTGAGAAATAAATTCAAATACAAATTAACAATATCTGCAGAAATAGTTTGTCTCTCGATTGCAATAATTGTATAAAAGAGAAATCTCCTAGATTAGATTTTTAAAATGCCATATTTATCTCGTGAAAACTTTCGTTTGTATTGAAAAACATTTTATTTTATGAGATAAACAATTACACAATAACATTGAGTCAACAATTTACTAAAACTAAAATGTAAATATAATTTATTTCCAGTTAATAGCATATCAAAAACAATATAATAAATTATAAAGTCATTTTGAACAATTTTATAAATTAGTGTTCAGTACTTCAAATAGACCTGGATGCTACTATACAAAAACTGTTATACTAGATACTACTTCTGAACACATAACTGTTAGTTTACCGATATACGTTTAACCTATTGAACCCATGTACTTTACCTCATATGATAATTACATGTAATGTCCTTATGTTGTAAATAAGAGATATTCAAATCTTTTAGTCAATTACAGTAGTAAATAGGAACTGTATTTAACCAGCTTTTGTTAAACATGTTAAAATACTATAATTTTGAATTAATTATATAATTCTTTAGATTAAAAGTTTTAATTTAAAACCTTAAGTTTATATTATATTATATTCAATTAAATTATTATAACATGTTAACTGCTCATAATTCCAAAAACTACTTGATTTTGGTTAATGATAAGTTACTTTTGTAACTTTTAATCACTAATAAACAATTACCAAAAGTTTAATAAAATTACTGAAAAGGTGTTACTTTTTTAACTTGACATTTCATCAATTAAGTAAAATATATTAATTTAAAAGTGTGATTTAAAAGAGTTTTACTCAATATAAAGTATACCTTAAATATTATATTTATCACTATTTTGTTGTCAATGATTAGTATTCATTAGAAATCCATTGGTTGTCAATTCATTATTCTGCAGTATATTCGATATTCATATTTATTTTTTTATCTAGGTGTTTAAGTAAAAATACAAATTTTGTTTATATTGTTTATAACTATTCATATTGTTATAGCTAATATAAAAATTATTTAAGGAAAAGGGTTTTATAATGAAATAATGAATCAGCATATTTTTTGGAAATATATTATTATTTTGCAAATATTTAATTTTTTTCAAACTCTATAAATTGAAATTCAAATTAAATACCCAAATAATGGACACTACTATGGGGTCGGAGGTTACAGTAAAATCCGTATCACTTTCGTGGCATAATATACGAGTTGTGACTAAAATTAACAAAACTTCGTATAATTGCTATAAAACTAATGAAACTCCAAAAGAGATCATCAAAAATGGTATTTTATTTATTTATTTAATGTCAAAAAATTATATTAAATGATTAATAGTGTCGGGTGTGGTGCAAGCCGGTCAGTTATTAGCAGTAATGGGTGCCAGGTATAATTAGCTATTTTTCCGATCTACCTCTTATATAGATTTCTATTAAATAATATTTAAATTCATGGTTTCAGTGGTTCGGGCAAAACAACTCTATTGAATGCATTGACGGCAAGGAATTTATCACAACTGTCCGTCAATGGGAAGGTATTACTGAACGGACAGGTAGTCAGTCAACAGAATGTGGCCTCCATCTCCTCGTATATACAACAGCAAGACTTACATCACCAGTTGCTCACAGTTAGGGAACACCTATTATTTCAGGTATTTGGTGTGTAATTTAAATTTGTATGTATTTTTGCATTTAAATTGATTGTGTGTTTAGGCGTTATTACGAATGGATAGCAATTTAAGCCAAAACCAGAGAATAGATTGTGTCGTACAAGTCATGCAAAAAGTTATTTTTTATCATTTAATTAATACAGTATTTAATTATTATTTGTATACTTGCTAGTTAAACTTAGCCAACTGCTCGGACACATTTATTTATGCCATTTCCGGGGGTCAAAAGAAAAGCCTGTCCATTGCATCAGAGGTTTACAATACTCATCAGAAATTGTATTTTTAAAATTTTCATTGATTTTTAAAAGATTTTAACCAACCCTTCACTTGTGTTTTGGTGAGAAATACCAGTTTTATAATCATTTATAAACACATTTAACACTTAAATCTATTTATTAGTGATGAGCCGACCAGTGGTTTGGATTCATTTATGGCTCAAAGTATAGTTCAAATGCTGAGGACTATGGCATCTGAAGGCCGGACAGTCATCTGTACTATACATCAGCCCTCGTCTCAAGTGTTTGCACTCTTCCAACACTTATTACTGATGGCCGACGGGAGGGTGGCTTTTATGGGAACAACCAGTATGTAGTCATTGATTTTTATAAATTATTATAGATTTTATTTGTTCCTGTGTTCAGGTGATGCCAAACAATTTTTCACATCACAAGGATTGGTAATAATTTCATAATCTATTTGATAATTTATTTGATAATTATTATTTGAAATACTCATAACTATATTTACATTTATACCATGAGATTTGTCCGATAAACTACAATCCATGCGATTACTACATCGATCAATTAGGTACAAATGAAATTCAAAAAACATTATTGGTGCAAATAATATAAAATATGGGTATCATTATCTTTTAATAGCTATAACTCAGGAATCGTATTCAGAATCTACAAACAAAGTGAATGTATTTATCATTCATAGTTATAAACTTATTATAAATAAAAAGTTTCCGATATTTGAGTTTTAAATTTTAAAACCCATAGAATATTTGCGACAATTATCTTAACTCGGTGTTTGCTAACGACATGATTAGACATGAAACTAACCATAATCAATTGGCAAATACAATGGCAATTATTGAAACTGGATATAAAGCGGGGCATTGGAGGCAAACTCGGACACTATTTTGGCGCACAGCCCTACTTATTGTACGCCATCCAGGTCTATTAAATGCTCATTTAACACGATTTCTGGTTTGTTCAACTATTATTATTACACAATTTTAAAATAATCATTTAAATGGACTAAATTAAATCCATGCAATATGTGCCATTCATTTGACAACAGGTTTCAGCTATATTGATGGGACTAGTATTCTGGGGACAGGGAAGTCAGCTTAATGTCAACAATATCAATGGGGCACTAAACCTAATGGCCCAGCTCAACTCACTCTGCCTGGCATCGGTGGCAATCACTGTATGAATTATTTATGTTTTATTTATAGATTTTTATTTAACATTAATCTATGGCTTAACACATTATTTCAGGTATTTTTCTCGGAGGCACCGATTGTAAGCCGGGAACACCAGAACTATACATACGCCGTGTTGCCATACTTTTTGGCTATAGTTTCACTTCAAGTATATTTTGAAAATAAATAATTTTAGAAATATTTAGATATAATTTGAAAATCATACGTTTTATTAAACTATTATTAACTATTTTTCACAAATATATAGCTAGCGTTGTATTCAGTTTTATCAGTCATTTATACAATAATCATGTATTTTATGATCGGCCTCTATCCGGATGCAGGGACCTTTTTCATATGCTTGTCCGTAACTATTGTATTAGTTTTGAGCGCCGGCAGTTTTGGTAATTACAAGTAGTAAATTTATCTCATAGTTATTATTTGGTATAATTGCTGAACACTAATTATTATTATGTCTTACAAATTTTGATTATCAGGATTTGCAATATCTAGTTTGTGCAAGGACTTTCCAACTGCCAGCGCTATACTAGCATCGGTAGTTCCGCCGTTTTTATTAATGAGCGGATTTTACCTAAATAACAGGTGACGCTAATAGGTTTCTGCTAGCTAATTACAAGTTTAATACTATATGTTTGTCTAAAAATTGTGCTCTAGCTCTATGCCCGGGTGGTTAGTGTGGACCAAGTACTTGTCGTTTGTGTACTACGGGTATCAGTCATATGTGGTGAATGAGTGGCGGCATATCAATAGCATTCCCTGTGATATGAATGGCACGGAATCGGCGATTAATAGCTGTTTTGCCAATGGGTTGACTGTTATTGAATCCATGGGTTACTCACTAAATAGTATCATATGGGGTCCCATCGCCCTGTTAGCTATGACTGCAATTTATCTGATAATAAGTTATATTGGATTAGTTATGAAAGTCAGACCAAAATAAATTGCAAGAAATAATATAAAAATTTTATTCTGTATTAACATATACTTTATTATTATCTTAATAAAATAATATTTGAAAAGTAGTTTAATTTGTATAATATTTTGTTAGATTTGTATTTATTAAAATAAATTATAATATACTAAATTGCTTTAGAAATGTCTAATAATATAGTTTTGTTATAAAATTGATTTAAAATTTCTAGTATATTAAAATTTATAACTTATAGTTTTCTATTAAATAATTTTTTATCTTATTAAAAATTAAAGTGAAATTTCTAAACTTTCATAATAATTAAATAATTTAATTTTATATTAATTTAAATTGTTTAAAATCTTTTATTTAGAAATAACATTGCTTATACAGGGTATCACGAAAAACTAATTAATACAAATGAATAATCTATTTATAATTCTAAATATTATTTATTTCCAAATCGTGATGACCGAGAGTAATGCCAATCAATACTGATGACCCTGTGCCTGTGCCTGGGGCATATTCCCAAATATTTGACTGGCCAAACCATTGCCACCGCTGTTACCTGCCGAAGTATCTTGCTCAATTGATACTCTGAGCACGTAATTGCCGACCGCCATCATAGCCATGAATAGAATTGAGGCCAAAGTTATGTACTTGCTCATATTTCCCGCCTGATAATCAAAGTAGTATATGTTAATAATCAAAATAAAAATATGATTACCAAATTAAATGTTTGCTTAAAATGTTTGTTTGAGTTCCCGATATTTATACTCACTAATAATGTGCATGTTAAGCATATAATGATTTCCAAATTCTTAATAATGATTTGATAATTTTTATATTTTTAATTTAATTAAAAGTGAACATTAGTTTTTAATCATGCACTAACTATTTTATGTAAAATCATTTAATATTCTTACTTAAATTTAATGCAAATTCATATTACTTAACAAATAGTCTGGACAGTTTCAAAATAACATTTCAAAACACTTATTGCATAAATGTGCTGTCCTGCAATACTTATATATTTTCTATATAAAGAGATTATGTTTTAATACATATTTAAAATAAAAATATAAATACAAAATGTTTTTCTATTACAAGTTCCCAATAGATGTTAGAAATTTTATTAGGAAACTGTTAATTTTTTAAACCATGATTAAAAATATAAAATTAATGATTTGCCATTAAATATTGTTTAAACTTTAAATGAGTACACTTATCTTAACATAATAACTGTGGGAATATAATTTTAAAATTATCATGGTTTATTTAATAAAATGCAATTTTATAAAAATAAATACTGGTCAAAAATAAGACAAATTTAAAATTATTTTTTATAACATTTATAGAAATGTTTTATTGTTTAATTAAATATAATTTAAACGATTACAATGTAGTTGCAAAAATCTACTTACAATTAAAGTAGTTTAATTTAGTTTTCATAAGTAAGCCGATATATGCCATAAATAAAAAAAATACAGTCATTTTTCATGAAAATAAAATTTTGTATTAACATTATTATTATATTAATAAAGTAATTGTTCAAAAATTGCTTAATTAGAAAAATATTTTGTTAGATTTGTATTTAAGAAAATAAATTATGATAAACTAAATTGCTTTTAAAATGTCTGAAAATATACAGTAGTTTTGTTATAAAATTGATTTAAAAATTATATTTTATTAAAGTATAAAACTTATTCTATTAAATAATTTTTTCATCTAATTAAAGTTAAGTTTCTGAACTTTCATAATAATTAAATAATTTAATTTTATATTAATTTAAATTGGTTATAATTCTTTATTTAGAAATAACATTGCTTATACAGGGTATCACGAAAAACTAATTAATACAAATGAATAATCTATT